CTTGGCAGTGGAAGGAAAACTAAGACCATGTGGGGTGTGGAATAAAGAAACAAAATGTTCAAGATAGAGGCAAGGTCAGCAAGGAATGCAAAACTCTACAAAGGGGTAAACAGTTGCATAATAAGGGTGTCCAAAGGGTACTGAGGAAGAGGAGGAGCTTCATCTTCAACGACCACCGAACGACCACCAGGACCATGGGACTGATGCCAACAGGGAGGAGACAGAGGAGGAGTATATGATAATGACTTTCAAGAACTAATTATAATAATAACCACCCATTCCTGGAAAGAATGAATATGTATGAACATTTAATGTATAAAAACTGTGAAGTTTTTGTCCCTGGTAGCACAAGTTTGGTGGAGCGATCCCCCTTGTGCCCAGCACTGAATAAACAAATACCTGCTACTCAGAGATACAAGTCTGTGAGTAGTTCTTTTCCAGCCTTTTCTCGGCATCAATGGCACTTCCTCCTGTTATTCCATTTCAGACTTTTAGCTATGTGAATAGCAAAGAACCATATTTAAAAGCTGTAAAATCCGCTCAGCTACAACGAAACTCATTTCTGCCACAGAGCGAGCAGCCCCTGTGGACGTATCAAACTGCACTAATTCCAAGTTTAAAAATTATTTTGAATTGGTTGGATGCGAACTAACCAAGTTTCAAGTCCATCTACACATGCCACCTTGGAAGATATAAACTGGCTTGGAGGTAACTGGGTCTTTGTATTTATACAAGATGGCCGAGACACACGTCATAATTCCAGAACTTTATGTTTATACAAGATGGCAGAGACACACGTCATAATTCCAGAACTTTAATCTTTTATTTTGTCCCACTTTTGAAACATTTGTCCTCAGAACTGTTGTATGCACCCCTGTGCATGCCTACAGTAGGTCACCAAACCACTCACGTATTAAGCCCAGCCCTGCAGATTCTTGAAAACTGTCATCTCTTGTTCAGAAGCTGTTCCTGAGACCAAGTATCTGTTTTCTGTTGAATCCAGTAGAATTTGTCCAGCAGATAACAACTTTATTAGGAAGGGCTGAGGGACACAGACATACAGCATTCATGGATAATGTGGAGTTATGTGATGGGCAGCAGCTCCAGTGGGTCAGAGGTGCTGAACAGGAGGAACCCAGAGAAGGTGGTGTCATCATCAGCATCTGCAAACAGCCCATTGAAAGTCTCTCCTTGGTGAGCCTGCAGCCACACCTCATCTCCTCCCTGCAGCTCAAGGATGGCAGCTCCCGAGGCCTGGTCCTCCCCACTCTGGTACCTGTCCACTGTGTGCAGCATCTTGATGCCATTCTTAACTAGAGCTACTCGGACGTTCCTTGAGTAGACAGTGATGTGGTAGGTGAAATAGTAAACACCAGAGTATTTGCAGGTGAATTTGCCAGTAAGTGGGTTGTAGTCCTTCAGACTATTGTACAGCACCTTGTCAAACTTGATCGGGCGATTCGGAGGGGGAAATTTGGTGCTGGCTGTAAGGCCAACACTGAAAGCACTCCTTGGCAGGACTCCTGGGGCACCTACATCACCCTTATCTCCTCTGTCTCCTTTCAAGCCTCTTTCCCCCTGAACTCCTGGATTACCCTGTGGCCCCAGACCTCCAGGATTACCTTTAGGACCTGGATTACCAGTTGGGCCAATTGGCCCTGGAAAACCAACTCTTCCAGGATGGCCAATTTCACCCTTTGTCCCTTTTGGACCTATTGGTCCAATGTCTCCTTTTAACCCCTTTTGTCCCTGCAGTCCCAGCTCTCCCTTCTGACCTTTGTAACCCACAGACCCTATAACTCCTTTTGGTCCCAGTTTCCCAGGTCGTCCTCTTTCTCCTTTATCTCCTTTGTTCCCCTTCTCTTCAACAGTCCCGTTGGCTCCTAAAGG